ATCTATTTGCTCAACAAATACTTACTGACTGCTTATATGCCATACTCTCTTCTAAGAACTAGAAATAGAAAGCCTCTGCCTTCATGTTAATTGTATCTATTTCTGGCAGTAATAACATGACATACTAAGTCATTAAACTGTTTAGCATTGTATTATGAGAGGGGTGGGGGGTTTAAAGCAGAGGTAAGTAAAGCCATCAAATGAGTATCTGGGGATAATGTGCTCCATAAAGAAAGAACAGCAAATGCAAAGTATTTGAAATAGAAGGGCATCATGTGTTTAAGCAATAGGAGAAATGAAGGAAGTATGACTGGAATAGAGAAGGGAAGAAGAGGAGAAAGGGAATGTAGGGGGGTGAGATCACAGAAGTGACCAGAGAACAAACCCTGTAGGCATTTATAAGTCTTTGTAAAAATCACTGTAAATCTGTTGGACAGTTTTGAGCAGAATTCCATGATAAGAATGACATTTTAGCTGGATTCTTTTTGTTACTGCATTAAGATAGATTGTAGACAATACAGATGGAAGCAGTAACTCTCTGTTAGATGCTATTGCATTCATGCGAGATATAGAGGTGGCTCCTATTCTTTCTCAAGTGATGGTGGCTTGGTCATGGTCTTAATAAAGTTATAGTTGGTAGTGGATTGAGAAACTTTGAGAATGCTTTGGTAGTAAAGCCAGTAGAATCCATGGGGAAAATAAATGAAGAAATGTGAGGTAGACCTCAATCATTGTTCTGTGGGTTTTAGGTAGAAAAGATGCTGTGGGATGGATCTTGAGATGTGGATGATAATTAAGCAGCTGGATACAGGAGCCTGGACTTCAGGAGAGGGATACCTGAATCTGACACTCAGTCTGTGGTGATTCTCTTTACTGCTGTTTACAATGTCTCATTGTTGTTGGTTGTTTTTGCTCTTTTGGGGGCCCGCCACCCAGCTCCCAAATAAACTATCCATAGAGACTTATTCTTAATTATAAATGCCCAACCTTAGCTTGGCTTGTTTCTTGCCAGCTTTCTTAACTTAAATTATCCCATCTATCTTTGGCCTGAGGGCTTTTATCTTTCTCTATTCCTGTTTACCTTTTCTTTCCTTCTTACTCCATGTCTGGCTGGGTGGCTGGCCTCTAGCGTCCTCTTCTCCTTGTTCTCTTGCTCTTTCTTCCTCCTCCTAGATTTCTCCATCTGTCTATTCCTCTCTGCCTGCCAGCCCTACCTATTTCTCTCTCCTACCTGGCTATTGGCAATTCAGATATTTATTAGACTATCAGGTGTTTTAGACAGACAAAGTATCACATCTTCACAGAGTTAAAGTGTATACTTCACTCGAGTGTAGCAAATGGGACTCGGGAGCTTTTTGACAACACCTGGGTTAATGTAGTCTCTGGATCCTTACTACAATCTGTTCTCTAAAGCATCTCCCACCTTACAAGTTTCTAAACATGTAGCAGCTTCCTCCCCTCCTTTGGTCTGTGCTGCCATTCTTAGTTTGAATGTAATCTACCCCAGCTCACCTGTATGAAGCAACTCCTGCTGGTGGTTTTAGATACATTCTCCATCTTTTACCATTCACTTTCTTGGGTGCTTGGGATAGTTCCTAACAAAGGTTAGATGATCAATAAATATTTCTGTTTTTCTTGTTTGCCATTTGCTCATTAATGAAACTTATAAATCTATGATTTATATTTATGAGGTAATAAAAGTGACATGTTAATGTTTTTTCTAATACCACTAAATATTTTGCTGGAGAGCCAATTGGGTAAAATGCTTACTGTGTAAGCATGAAGAACTGATTTTATAGCAACAGTAGCCATATAAAAACTAGGCTTAGTGGTGTAGTAATTTCATTCCTGAACAGAGTTAGGGGCTTGCAGAAAGAAATGGATCTCCCAGCTCATGGGAGCTCACGGACTATAGAATGACAGCTAGGGAACCTGCATGGGACCGACCTAAGCCCTCCACATGTGTGTGACAGTTGTGTAGCTTGTTCTGTTTGTGGGGCCCCTAGCAGTGGGACCAGAATCTGTCCCTGGCTCATAAGCTGGCTTTTTGAAACCTATTCCCTATGGTAGGATTCCTCGCTCAGCCTTGATGCAGGAGGGGGGATCTTAGTCCTTTAGTCCTGCTATAACTTGATATACCATGCTTTGTTGACTCCCATGGAAGGCCTTACCTTTCTGAGGAATGGATAGGGGTAGAAAGGAGGTTGGGGGAGGGAATGGTAGGAGAAGAGGGATGGGAAACTGTTGTTGGTATATAAAATAAATTTAAGAATTAATAATAAAACAGCATGTAAATGAAAAGGAGAGCGAGATGGATCTTCATAGCTCCTTGGCCAGGCAGCCTAGCCAAAATTTATGAGTTATGGGTTCAGTGAGAGACCCTGACTCAAAAAACAATGTGGAGGGACTGGTGGGACCTCCAGTCCCAGGTGATCCAACACCTGACCTCTATGAATGCCAGACATGCCTTTGATGCACATGTAGACATGAAGGAAGAACATTCATACATATAAAATAAATAAATCATTTGAAAATTAAAAAAATATGGAAATGATTGAGGAAGACTCCTGATATCGACCTCTAGTCTCTATGTGCTTGTCCATCTGTTTACAGGCGTGCCTGCCCACACACATAACACTAACACACACACACACACACACACACACACACACACACACACACACACCTCAGTTTTTTTAAAAAAATCTACAAATCAGTTGAAAGACCTTTTCAGGTAGAGGAGTACAATTGTGTAGGAATGTGATTATGTTAACTCAGCCTGTGTGTTAGCTTCTTGCCACTGTTTCTTACCAGTAGTTTTTCTCTGAGTTCTTATACCCTTAGCTCCCTCTGAAAACCCCCATGGGCTACTCCATTGCAAACACTGCTATTGCCTGTGGTTTATGGGCCTCTGGACAGAGGGGCATACATGTATATCAAAGGTTCTCACAAAAATTGACTGGGTAATGTTAAAAGTAAGTGCATGGGGCTCTGGAGGCCCAAAAGGAAGGTGTTCTCACGGGCCACATATGGCCTGTTATAGGTTGAACTCCCTGCCCCGTTGGCATTGTCGCAGAGATATTCATCTGACCTTGCAAATCTTACAAACGTATGCCAGGGTAGCATCTGCTCCTCCATCTGAATATCAAATCCCATTTAGAGCTAGAAGAGCAGAACTTGAGAAGTAATCCAAAGATGACCCTGTGTACCCACCTGCAGCTTGCACTGATCCTCTGGTGTTCTTAATCAGCCTTGCTAAATACTTCCTGTAGGGAAAATGAGGAGTGATGAGGAGTAATCTTGCTGCTGCTTCTGAAAAATTCATCGACTGATTTACAGATATTACTTATTCATCATGCTATCCCATTGCAGAAGATGGGAATTCAATTCCAGCCTTAAAGGTTATGGGATCCCTCAAGGCCTAGAGTATATTAATGAAAAGTTGAGAACCTGACAAAGATTCAAGAATCTGCATAGTGAATAATCTTCCATGAAGCCTAGATTCTGAAGTAAATTTAGAAACAGGGTGGGAATATGACAGTGCATTTCTCTTCAATTTGAAGCAAACTGACTTTGGTATTCCTGGCATCGTAAGTAGTCCTGACTCAGCTCGCCTGGAGTAGGCATCACTGGGAGAACTGTAATACACAAGTAGAATCTGTTTACCTAACCGATTTCAGCAGAAGCCAACTCCATCCCAAATGTTGGATTGCTTACAGTGAGTTCTCATTTTTCTCAAAAGATGAACTCATACCTTCTGGATGCCTCTGTAGTTCAAATGATACCTATTTCCAATGCTTCTCCAAGCCACAAATCTAACTGTTAGCACTGTAATGGACTAGCTCTAAAGATACTACTGAGTCCTATAGATGTGTGATTTGTTTGCCTTAAACTACTCAAACTTTAACATGAAGCATCTTATCCAAATTTAAATCACCTTTCTTCCAACACTGATGAGGTCAGAAATAGGAATCTCATGCCATTATTTCTTCATTCTTCTTTGCAATTTACATTTTAATGTGTTGATGGAATCCCTTCATTAATTTTATATTCCTACCAAATGATGATGCATCTATTTCAGCCATCTATCTCATCTGTCTACTTTATCTATCTATCTATCTATCTATCTATCTATCTATCTATCTATCTATCTATCTACCTACCTACCTACCTGCCTATCTATCTGTCTATCTCTGTGTGTGTATGTACATATGTAAAAAAAAAAATCTCTTTAGTTATTGGGGCCTTGAGCATCTTATATGTGTTAGTCACCGGAACATAACACAGACTTAACCAGAACTTAACACAAAACAACAAAACTTAGAAATAATAAATAAAATAAGTGAATAAATAAATTACTAAGTAAACCCAAAACACTGAACAGTCTCTCGGGCTGCTGACACTTGTCATTCCTCTCAGAATTGAACAGGCTCTATTGGTGCTTATGTCCTAGATTATTTTTTTATGAAATCCTGCCCTCTTTTCAGACCTCATGTTATCTAAATTTTAATATATTTTAAAACCTGTAACCAAAATACTCCCCTTTCAGCAACTACTGTTATATAGATTGATTATTACTCTAAGTTTTAAATGACTGCAAGGTTTGTGTATATCATAATTAAACTCTTCTTTCCTTTCTGCTTCATGACCGGTCTATGAGCTTGAACTCTATAGACATTATATTAATCAGAGAAGCCACATGCATGGAAGGAACATATGGATGAAGCAAGACCTGCTGGTTTGCTAGGCAAACAAGCAGACAGTAAAGACTGAACTTGCTCATAAAGAAGTATATCCTGACACCCAGCTCTGCCACTTTTCAGCTCAGTTGCCTGGAACAAGTGACTTGTTTTCTCCTTTGAGGAGCAGAAATGATGCATGCTTTCCTTTTTGCTTTATCAAATCTTATAGTAATGAAAACGCTGTTCAGGTCTTTGATGCTATCCCTTAGTTTTGCAATGTTCAAATACATGACTTTGAATTTTACCTTCCTTGCTCAGGTTGACATGATCGTGACCCTGGGAGGACTTGGTGGGCGTTTTGACCAGATCATGGCATCTGTGAATACCCTTTTCCAAGCCACTCACATCACTCCTTTGCCAATTATAATAATCCAAGAGGAATCTCTCATCTACCTCCTCCAACCAGTGAGTAAATAGTAGACCTCATCAGGACTTTGTTCACAGAGCCAATATTTCTGTAGAATAGGCAACTCCTTGGCCTGGCTTATGTCTTTCAGCAAAGATTGCTTGCTTGTAGTAGTTTGTTTTATTTTTATCTACGGCCCAAATGACTGAACAGCACATAGGTAGTAAAAATACTCAGAATTTCTATGGGTTGTTGTTTTGTTTTTGTTGAGAGAGAAGGGGAAAAAAATCTTGTAACTTTTAAATAAATTCCCTAAGAATTAAATTTAGTACTTTTGCGTTTTGAGCAGCTGAATATGAATGACACTTGAGAAAAGTCTCAACAGGGAAACACAGGCTTAGCAAATATTTCAGATGGGTTCCTCATGTATTTGGAGTGTTGTCATTATAATTGGAAACTGGATTTGATTTTGTTCAACAGTTTAAAGGAAATCTTTAGCTTTTACTATTCATAAGTTGCCTGATTATTAATTTTATTCCCTTAAGTAATTTTCTAAAGATGATGTCACTGCTTTCCAATCAATGTAAGCATCAAGAAATTTTCTGCCAGTGTAGTGCACAGAATAGAATTCTTACTGTAGAACCAAATTCCATAAGGTTGACTGGGGCCTGCAGTTTAGCTTATTCTGCATGAGAATTTTTAAGGATAGTGGACCATTCCGTTTTGCCTCTCATTGTGTTATGGAACTAATAATTTGGTGTCTCCCTCATCTGCTACATGCTACCTATAGTATGCCAGTATTGTAAACTGTTGTTTGCTGAGACAGCAGGTCTCATAGCATACTCACTTTTGTTCATCAGATTCTGCTTTGTTTGGTTCGGGTTAGGTTTGGGGCTCTTTTCATTGCCTCACTTTTTTTGTTTCCTGCAAATATGCGTAACAAAAGCAGAATTCAGATTTCAGATTCCTTGCCAGCCTTATACTTCATCAGCCACCAGGCTTGCAGTACTGGTTGCCTTTCGGTTGCAGTCCATGGCAGTGAGGATGAAGAGAAGGAGTTCTATTTGATCTTTACCCCCCCCCCCAGTTCATGTGCAGTGAAGAAGACAGTGATCAAAACATAAGCATCATTGCATTAGTCAGTTTTCTGCTGTAATCAATTCCTATGATTGTCAGCTGCTAAAAAGAAAGGATTACTGCAGCTCATAATCTTAGCAGTTTTAAGCCCAGGACCTGTACATTCAGTGGGCATCATGGTAGTAACATGTGATGAGATAAATCCACTCCCCCTTCTGTCTGAGACACAAAAGAGAAAAAAGAAGGGAGCATGTCCCTGTGGTCACAGTCCCCTTCTAGGTCACTCCCTTAGTGATGTGAAGGCCTCCCACTAGAATCCACCTCCACAATCCACTAGGCTCCACCTCCATATTCCCAGTGCTTCCCAACAGTGCCATCCTAGGCATAAAGTTTTCTCACATGGCCTGGTGGGGACACTTAAGGTCCAGTATGTGGCAGTAATTCAATGATTAAAGTTTAGTAAATAAAGATGTTGAGAGAATAAGTAGTTTGGGCATCATGGAATAAGGAAAGGATTCACAGAGACACTCTTTTTATCCACTCAACATTTTAGTCACTGAATTCAACAATTCCTTAGAATATACCTACTGATGAGAAGCTTTTTTTCCAGCAATAAAGCAGTCCAAAAGAGGGGAAATGCTCACTTCTTTGGGCATTTTACTGAGCTTACATTTCCACACACTCAAGAGTGAGTTGAGGCCGGGCGGTGGTGGCACATGCCTTTAATCCCAGCACTTGGGAGGCAGAGGCAGGTGGATCTCTGTGAGTTAAAGGCCAGCCTAGTCTACAGAGTGAGATGCAGGAAAGGCGCAAAACTACACAGAGAAACCCTGTCTCGGGGGGAAAAAAAATAAATAAAGAGTGAATCGAGGTTTGCTATGAGAGATGATGGGAAAGTCATTGAAGACAGGAGCTACAATTGATGAACAGTAGAAGTTGGAGCATATCCTAAAGTGTGATTGGAATGCTACCTGCAAAACATGTCACCGGAATGGTTTGTAACATTTTTTCATTGATGCCCTGCATCTTCACTGTAGTTGGTAAGCTCTGGGATTTGAAGCAGGCAGTTTGGGAGTCTTGGAACTCCCCACCACTGCACTGCTGTCTGTCAGCGCTTCCCAAAGCCTCTCTACCGTTGTCTTTTCCTACCTTGCTCTGTTTCTTTGTCCCTCTGCTGCCACTCCCATTGGGTGTGTGTAAGAGTCTCTGATGGTGTCACGTGCGTCACTAAACTTCTCTTTCATGATTTGTATGCCTCAGCCTCTCTGGACTTCATCCTTTTCTACTCTCACTTCTCTTCATTCTTTAATTCAGCGTTGTCTGGCTGCTCAACCCATCTACTGAGACTCTGATCCCTGCCCTCACATGCTTGCCCTTTTCACATTTGACTCTTAAAACGTAAGTGTCGAACTTATTTGATATTCTAGAATAATTCGCATATGTCAGAATACTTTGATTTTTATTTTGTAACTTCGGTTTCTTCTATGTTGTGTGGTATATAGCTGTGATTTTGCATCTTTGAAATCTCTACCTGAGGAGATTGTCTGAGGCATGAGTTAAAAGCAAGCCCAAGAAAAACATACATTTGCTTTTGTCAACCTCCTGAATGACACCTAGTCCTGTTTACAGGACCATTAACTACATGGAACATCCTGAGACTCCTGTGGCATCCATTAGTGTGACTCATGATTGTAATACCTCTGGGACTTTGATGTCTGATGATAAGATGTGCCTTCTAATGTCCCTCTTCTCAGCTTTGTAGAGGCAAGGTTTGGTTGGGTCATTTTCCCAGCATGCAACGGGAGTGTTTATGTCCATTTTGGTATGTAGGGTCTCTGTCTTATATGACCGTCCCCTAGACTTTGGGCTTTAGCTGATGATCGCCAATTTGGAAAACACTGTCAAGATGAAAGTTAGCTTTGGTCTTTTAAATGGAAACCCGTTTTATTTCTAAGTATTGTTATTTTTAAACAGATCTGATTCTATTTAAAAGAATCCTTTTATTATTTTTCTAGTATCTCTAATATTTTCTATCATGTACTACAATAAGCTACACTTTCTCTCTAAATCACCAGTCATAATTAGCCCCAGATCTGACAGATTTTTCTGGAACTGAACGTTTTCTCACTAAGGGAGAATTTAGTATAGTTTGGGCAGCTTTTTCCATTTTACCTTGCAGTCAGCTAGACAAGAGGGGCCAGGGGAGGGGGTTGTGACTCTGCCAGAGCAGTGCTCCCTCTGTAACGGCCACCTTAGGAAAGACTGTCGGTAGCCAGAGAACAAGAGCTGTGGGCCCAGGAGGAGAGGGCACCATAGAAGCCCGGAACTCTGCCTCTGCATAACTGCAAGAAACTCCAGTCCTAAGAATGCTCAGGCATCTGGCCCCATGTGATTTATGAGATTATAGCACAGTGTATCACCTTGTGCTTGTTAAAGGAGAATTCTAGAGTCTCCCAACATGCTAGCTGTGTTACTGTGGATGCTTTGCATCCTTGAAATAATTAGAAAATTCCTTATCCTCAAAAAACAACTATTACTCAGAGCAGGGCCAAAAGCTCATATTGGATCACTCCTAATGACACTTTGAAGGGGGTCAAGGCCTGGCTCCCACATCTCCCAGTGGATTAGCATTGCACTTTTATCACTGTAGTTTAGGGAGTTGTTTTGTTTTTAAGAGACCAACTCTAGCACCCTGCTTTTGTACAACCTGTTTAGTAAAAGGATGGTAAGAAAATTCTAGTAACACAAATTAAAAGGCAGAATGACAGTGTGAGAGCTTTGATTGTTTGATGGTTCTGTATGACCTTCATGCACTTAGGCAGTTTTGCTTGTGTGTGTATGAAATGTGAATGACCTACAGATGAACTTGATACTGATGTTTGCTGAAACTTTTTCTTAAACATAATTGTATGCTGGGTGGTGGTGGCACATGCCTTTAATCCCAGCACTCAGGAGGCAGAGCCAGGCGGATCTCTGTGAGTTCGAGGCCAGCCTGGGCTACCAAGTGAGTCCCAGGAAGGGTGCAAAGCTACACAGAGAAACCCTGTCTCGAAAAACAAACAAACAAAAATAATAATAATAATTGTACATCTTAGAGAAGAACTGGAGTGGTTGAGAGGAATATACAGAAGAGACGGCCCACAGGGTACTGTTCATTGTTACTAGGAATAATAGTCATGATTTTAATCAGAAAAGAAACATGATAAATTTTAATTGAAAACAGTTTCAAATATTGTAGAGTTAAGCTCAAGGAAACCAAGACTGTTATGCCTTGGCATCAAATGGAGAATGGCTTAAGTTGTTTAAATTAATATTAATAGTCCACTCTCAGGTAGAGTGATAATTTTGATGCTTTAAAATGAAAGCTTTCACTTAACCTTCATAACAGTACTGTAAAAAAAAAAAAAAGCAAGGCGGATAATACAGTTATACTGTAAGGCTCTGACTCAACACTTTTTCCACAGCACTACATTTCCTCTCTCATGGAATTAATGGACTAAGAAAGAAATGACAAGCTCTTAAAACAAGTCATAGCCCATAGGCCGGTGATTATCCATGAGCAATGTGTAACTGAATGGCCAGTTTGTGGGTGTGGGTGTGGGTGTAGATTTAAATATTTATTCCTATACATAGCATGCATAAATATATACTTTTATACACATATAAAATCCTATCTGATATTGATAGTTTTGCCTATAACATTGATTTCAAATAATGTAAGTATTAGGTGCACTATGGTTTTTTGGCAGTGCTAGGAATCAAATCCAGGGCCCCATACCTGCTAGGCAAGCACACTATTACTGGTTCACATCTCCACCTTAATTGTGAGTGCATTTTAAGGCTGTAATTTTTCCTTGCTACTATAATCTCAAATTAGGAAAGATTACTTTCTGGATTTTTCTAAACCATAAGGAAATCTAACTATAGCAATAATCTTTATAATATAAACAGATCCAATGAGATGACATTGAAATACATTTAC